CGGTTTCTGAAGGATGTGAGGCAGGAAATGTTTTGGTTTGTGTGGAAATCAGAAAGCCTCTGTCTGGAGAGGTGTGTGTGTGTGTGGCCGGCCAAGCTGCTGCCGATCAGTTTCAAAACACGTCTTCTGCTTCTGCCAGTTCACCACTTTGGCTTTCCACTAGGCGCACCGTGTTCTTACTTCTGTAGCTCAAATTGAAGGGTGGCTTCACATGAGAGGAGGCCCTTCTGCTCCATTTGACTCTTAATTGATTCCACGGTCTCCTCTTGAATGAAGCCCAAAGCATCAGCTTCAGCCTCATGGCTGGGAAGCTTCTTCCAAGCTCTCACCCCCCTGGGTGAACACTGAAGGAGCGACTCCTGCTCGTTGTGTTCATCACCAAGAATCTGACGCACCGCTGGTGGTGGATGAGTGGTCAGTCAGGGTTTCCCTGGCTGTCGGCGCCCATTGACTCCTGCAACCTCCTGGGCACTTGCAGGTGTTCGGCGCTGTCAGAGAGGGTCATGCTTCTCCCCAGCAGCCGTATCGCCCTGCAGCTCCCCACTGGCAGCCCACTGGAGCTCAGCAGTGTGAGCCTGGTCAGTACCTGGACGGGAGACCTCCTGGGAAAAACTAAGGTGCTGCTGGAAGAGGTGTTATTGGGGCCAGCAGGGGGCGCTCACGCTGTGGTCTGTGTGGGTCCTAATGCTCCAGTATAGGGACAGGGACACTGTACTGTAAACAGGCACCGTCCTTCGGACTCTCTGTGGTCATTAAAAATCCCAGGGCGTTTCCTGAAAAGAGTAGGGGTGTAACCCCAGCGTCCTGGCCAAATTTCCCACTGGCCTTTGCCAGTCATGGCCTCTTAATAATTCCAATCTCTGCACTGGCCTCATGACCCTCTTCTCCTTCCCACTGAGAGCTGGTGTGTGGGGAGAGTACTGGTGCACTATGGCTGCCGTCGCATCATCCAGGTGGGGCTGCACACTAGTGGTGGAGGGGATCCCCATTACCTGTGAAACACTTTGAGTGGAGTGTCCAGAAAAGTGCTATATAAGTGTAAGCAATTATTATTGATTATTTTTATTTTCGTAAAGCAGCCCGCTTTGTTTTCCCTCAGGAATGTTCATTACAATCCTTGAAGACTCTTGACTGATAAAATCATTTTTCCTTATAGCTGAAATCAAGCAATAGGAAGAGTTTATAGGTTTGACATGTAACTTTGCTCTCGGGGATAAGGAAGCTGTAATAAGCATTCAGCCGTAGAGCTTCTATACCTTATTGAAGAAAAATCTACCACATTTAGTTTAAAGTCGGTAAAACCACTGGTAAATAACTTGCAAATTTAATGCAGATTACGAACATTGGATTGATTCTGAATCATTTGTACAGAACTCCCAAAAGATTGTATTTGTCCCTGACTTAGAAGGATTACAAGGATACTTTTCAGTTTTGTACTGTGTTCAGATAAAGCATAAAGGAACCAGAACAATGAATTCGTAATACAATCCATATGGGTTTTTCCAGCATCTTGCAAGAATGTTATTGTAAATACAATACGGGCATATACAATTTCCTCATTTTTCTCCAGCTTGTTTATTTGGTGCTTGGCTGGCATTTTTTGGGGGAGGCTATAGTTACAAGCAAAATTAAACTGCACTCTGAATGGTGTGCCATAGGTGTTTTACTGCATGTTCACAGAATTTCACTAAATGCTTGTGTGTGTTAAGTACAATTTACAGGTCCATAAAAGATCATCCCAGTTGTTTGCACTGGGATGCCATTTTTAAAGAGCGTTTCAGAGGGTTTTGTGAAGTACTCTTCTTCACATTCACAATCAAGTGCGGAAATATTCACTTGAAAAGAAAAAAGTGTGTCCACAGCACTCCTTAAAGAGTCATTCATTTTAACTGTTAAATTTTTTTTTACCCGTCTTTTTTTTTCTTCCTGTGAAGACAGCCGTGTGAGTAAGGCTTTCCAACACCTCCTGAAGCTTTCGTGTGCAATTGGTTCTGACACGAAGACCCAGGGTTTCTTCTCAGCCAGCAGGATCCAGTCAATTAGTTTCCATTAGTGCCGGCCTGTGGGAGATGGCAGGGTGTCTGTGCGCTTGGTTATTTGAAGTTCTGGACATTAAAAGATCCCAATTAGACTTCAAGCACTGAGGGAACTAGCATTCCAGAAATGACCTTCATTGACTCTGGGGCTCCGCATTTCATTAGTTTTCGGGTAAGTTAAAAGGCAGGTCATTTGGTGCATGAATACACACAGGAAGGGATGCTGTTTGAAATCCAAGGCTTCTGCTCATAACTAAAAACTAAAGGATGTGAGAAGCTGGATTTGTAATCCCATGCTGTGTGCTGAGACTCGGTGCACCTGTGGATGAACCTGTAAAACTGATATTTGACAGAAGATGTTGAATGTATTATAAAGCTTTAACATCACTCTTGGATTCTTCATTTATTCTATTGAGACTACAATATAATGGCAGCACATTGGTGGTCCTAAAGCAATTACTTTTAAGTTAACTTTAGGTGATTATCTGCTGGGTCTTTCTACCGCGATCTGCTGGACTTCCTTATTGTGAGCAGTAGGCTTTAGTGAAGTGTAGCCAGACCACTGTTTTTCTCTTGTCCTCTTTCTGACAAAGGTTAATATCTCCACCTTATGGTTTGGAGATTCGTGAAGGTGCATTACGGGAAAAATAAGAGAAACAGTATTAATAAATGCATTTATCCCCCATCCAAAAGGATCAAAATGCACTTGCATAGGAGGGAACCCACTTTATCCACTGTTGAAGTGTAGGAGCTATTATGCATGCTCCCCACCGCACAGCAGATATGGCAAAGGCTTTGCATAACTGATTGAATTAAGGGAGAACTTTCGATAGGCCTGATTTGTCAAGCCAGAGTGGAATTCAGCCACAACACCATGGTTAATGCCACTGCTATTCTTTCATCTGCTGTGAGATCTGTAATGTCTGAACAGGAAGATCATAGTGCCTCTTACAGCATGGTCCCCTACCACCGTTCTGGGACATTGGTTTGGCAATTCTGGCACAGAGGGAAGAGTTGCCTCTTTACAGCACTGAACAGGCCCATCCTGGAGTGGAAAATCATTTGGAAGGAAACATTATTAAGGCCATACCGTAGCAACCTGCCACTTCTGTTCCATGAGCGTCCATGAGGTGCTCGCCAGTCTTAACATCTGTGGCTTTTTAAGTTTGTATTTCAATGATCCTGGTCATAATATCCAAAAAGAAAACTCAAGTGCCGATACCATGCATATATTTCTCTATTGTTGAATTCCGTGTAAAGTACTTTATTATGCTGTCTTCAGGATGTTAATTTCACTCTTGTGCAGTGACACTATAATGAGAGAAAATAGTAGAGCACAGGAAGGAACAGTGCTCTAGATCCCACTCCACTGTAATTTGAGATGCCTTTAAGTCTCCTTCACTGCAGCGTCTTAAACGTCCGCTGAAGGATGGCATCAGTCCACAGTGAAGGTTCTGTTAACATAGCACATTGCATGGCCAATAATGGTCAGAAATCGTAAGTCTTTTAAAATTTCCTACAGTATGTGCAAATCAAACCATACGTTACAGAGTGTATTATCAGTGGCTTGTTTTGCTTTTAAGTACTTTCTACCATCACTTGTGAGAAACTGAATAAAGACAAAAAAGGCTAGCCTGTGCATTCCTGTGAAAGTGTGTGTGTGTGGGGGGGGGAACTGCAGCTTGTCAGCTTTTTTTAGTGCATCCTTTTAAAAATGATACTGGAAGTCAGTGTCCTCCAAATGGAAATTGCAGAGGTCAAGAGAGGCTGCACGTTTTGTGCTAAAGCCATTTTGTTTTTGTATAGCATTATGGAAACATTACCTGCTATAAAGCTTTGGCTGCCTTTCACACTTGGGCTCCATCAGATTAGCTCTCTCCTGTATCGGAAACATGATAAGGTACAGTACATTGTCATTCATGACCTTAGCACATATACAGCTTGTCTAAGCAGTAACAAGACACCCAGTGCAGCAACTCGCATGTCATGCAAGCATTAAGACTTGGCAGACTTGAATTATTTTCAGAACTGCACTTCGGTGTCGTAACCATAGCACGATCAGTTTAATACTCGACAGTTTAATGCTGAAAAATAGGTGAGGATTAGAATTTATATGCTTAAAGGTTTTTTTTAAATCATAAAAGGTCCTTTAGAATTAATCATTCTGGCATGTATCAGGATCCAGATATAACAGCACCCTCCTAGGCAGTGTGTTTGTGCCGTATGCTGTTTAGACAAAAAATAAAGCTTACAGAGTCCTGTTCAGTTCTCTCCAGAAACCTGTAGAACATAGTGCTGTGTGAGCTATAGAGGCTGGGATCACAGCTACAGTTTGCTGACATTTGCTGTTGCTTGTGGAAAAGACTTGAAAGTTTATTTTTTGTTCGTATCTTAGACATATTAGGAGCTAGGCGTTATGCTTGTAAAGGTCTGTAAAAACTATCGCGGTAAATATTAGCTGATGGTTTAAAAGTGGTTCTCGGCAGTAAATACTAAATGGCCATCTGTTGGATACCATTCCAAACAAACATTGCGGGATACAGACAGTGTGTTATTTATGACCTGCACATCTGCTGCACTTGTTTTCTGCATTTTTTTTTAATACAAATAAGCCAGTTTCCCTCCATTATGAGACGTTGTTAATAGATAACTGTTAAGAAGAGCTCTTTTCCAGTAGTTTTAGCAGTTTTCTCCAGGCTTTGAGACCATAAAACAGAAATACAGTACAAGACTTGTACTGATGAATATCTTAAAACCCCGACATACTGTACTGAAGGAGTTGACATGCTGAATTATTTATTACACTTTTCACCTTCTGGTATGAGGAGGGTTATCATAGGATTGAATGCATCTTTACACTGCCAGAAGTCCTGTTCGATATGATTTTCAAATACCTCCTGACAACAGGGCAACCTGTTTTGGTTCAAAGGGGCTTTTTGCTGAGGCTCTGTTCTTCTGCTGCAGGCCTGGACGACAGCCTTCAACAGTACGTCCACAACTTCGAGCGGGAGAAGATCAGTGGGGAGCAGCTGCTGAAGATCACTCACCAGGACCTGGAGGAGCTGGGCGTGACGAGAATTGGGCACCAGGAGCTTGTCCTGGAGGCAGTGGATCTGCTTTGTGCTCTGGTCAGTCTCTCCAGCCCTCGCTGGCTTCCTTTACTTGGGTCCTTAGTCTTTAGCCACCTGAGCTGTGGATGTGTACGAGTGTACACTCAGTAATTGTTCTGATTTAAATTTACCCGCAGATTAAGTACCCTAGACAGTCTGTTCTTCTGAAAAGCCCTCTCGGGACTGCTAGAGAAGATGGGGAAATGAATAAGGCTGCCCATTGCACAGTAGCTTGATCCATTAGCATTTATGTACTTAAAAGGCTTTTAAAAACAATGAAAGGTCTGTTAAAATTAATTATTCCCTTGTGTATCAGAACCTAGATATAACAGCACCCTCCTAGGCAAAGTTTGTTTGTACAGAATGCGGTTTTGAACAAAATAAAGGTTACAGAGTCCCTTTCAATGCAGGTTTTGTAAACTGTAAGCTTTTGTAGAAACATATTACAGTTCACATCTTTGATGGAAATGCATTTCCAATAAGCAACACGCTAGATGTTTACAGGTGTCCCTGAGAATCCATGAACCTTGCTATGTGACCCCTGGGTCTGTCGATTCTTGTGGCCCAAACTGGCTTTCATGTTGCTGTTTTTGTTTTAATCCACCTCGGCCGGTAAAACTGTGAGGCTAATTAAAATGAGTTATTAACCATGCATTCATTAATGCATCACAAGCATGTGCAATGATGTCTTGTTTAAAGTAAGTTGCATTAGCCTTTCTACCCCTAGCAAAGTCTGGTCTGCTGCTACTTTACAGGACTGGTAATATGTATGGAAAATATGATTGGCTAATATTTTGGCATGATGGTGCACAAGAGATAGCGGTTCTCGGTGAATCTGTCTAGTGCAGTGAATGGAATGAGTCTGTCTAGTGTGCAGTGCTCTGGAGGAGATGAGTTGATTAAGCTTGTCAGGTGTTGTATGGGCTTCAGTGGAGAATAGCGCAGTTCACCATCTAAAAGCCTTAGGTAAGTGACTTCGCTCCTCTACACCGATCCTCGTGATCACCTGTGAAAGGACATTACAGAAGCTCGAGATGCTGCACCAGCAAATAACGAACCACCATTAAAAGCCACAGGAACCCATATCTTGCCAGCTACAGCAAAAGAAAAAGCAGGAAGAGTAAAGCACGGTAAGCAATAAGGTTGCTCACAAGACAGAGAAACACTGCGGAACATAATTCTGATCTTGCGACTTGAAGCCCCAAATAAAAGCTTGTGCGTGTTTAAAGGACCAGTCCGCCTGGCTCTGAAGGGGGAGGGGGTCGTTCTCACGGAGAACGCGGGCCGCTCTGAGGAATTAAAGGATTACAGCACTTTCTCTGGAATGTCAGGTCAGCTGTCGGCTTCCTACTGTACACCCAAATTTGGTCCGTCTCTTACTCCGGGCTTCACTAGGAAACCAGCAGAAGTTCCAAAAGCTTTCTAATCTCCCGGGAAAGACTGTTACCAATTATGTGAATCCAGGATAATTTATGGTTAGCAGGTTTTGACTCAAACCAGCAGACAATGCAGATAAAAGGATTATGCTGATTTTAATTATTTCACTGGAGTGATATTTCTCTGCGGGGATTCATTTTTTTGCTCTTGGCACCAATGATGCACGTGGTGGCAGTCTTATGAAGTCATCCAAGTGACTGAACATCCACAGCAATCAAATCAGTTTGGCGCTTCATAAAGAGGCTAAGGGCTGCTGTGTAAGTTTGAAGCTCACAACGTCTGTTGATTTATATAAGAAAATTCACTTTTCATGTCATCTGCACTGTGTACTCGACCCCTGGCATGATTTTTAATTTAAATTAGAATCAACACCTTCATTATTTTGACTGTTTTGTTTATTGCAATTAAGAAACCATGCGATACAAAGGTATAAGTCCTTCAATTAAAAGGCTGGATTGCAGAAATGTCATTCAAAATACATTCTTACTAAATGTCTGAGCCAGTGAATATATTGAACGGACTCCAGAAGGCTGTGCTCAGTGTTGCCACAATGGGAAAGAATGTTAAGTGAATCATACCATAGGAAATATTCAACATACCACTGATATAATGTGTTAGGTCCTGCTTAATAAGGAAAGAGCTTTACAGAAGTATGCAGAGTAAAATTGTATATCATTTAACTTCTTTTTAAATAGTCAAAGCTACTGCAAGTGTAAAGGACAGTCTTGAGTGCTGAGGTCCTCTTATGTTATATGTCTAAAATATTTTCCTATTCACTGCAGCTATGCAGAAAATGATCAGGAGATAATATGGTGATCTTTATGGGGCAGATTCATGTGCCACTTGAACAGTACAACATCAAATAATTTTTTATAATATTGGTCTTGGGCTTCCTTCTCAATTAATAAAAAAAAAACGATTTGATACAAACCAGCAGTGTCCAATATTCAGCCAGGCTGATAATGGATTTCACATGTTAAAACAGCCATGCTGGTGTAGTAAATTCTTTTCAGGTCAGCCTGTCTGTGACACTGAGAATCTTGAATTACAGGTACTACAGGCCTCGAACTGCCTATGCACACCTCTGCAGATGAGGTGCAACCAAGTGCTGGGGATTGATCACATATTCCTTTGTGCCGCTGAGTAACCTGAATAATGGTTTCACAAGAAAGTTCGTTATGGGATTTTTGTGAACTCAATTTAATTTAGAAGTCAAAAATACATAATCTCAAAGTAATTAATGGTTCTTAAGATGTGTGACTCACAATGATTTTATTCTCGTAGATAAATAATCGTTCTGCGCCTTAGTGGGGCTGGTAGCAGAGGGAAGTAGGAGTGTCCATGTGTAGGTGTTGAGGGAGCATTCTCAAGAAAGCACAAATTAAACTGAAATCTGCTAATGATTACAATATGCCCTAAAAAGACATAGTAGATATTAATTGTTAATTTATTGTGCATAGGATTATACCCCCAAAGTATCATTCATGATTTCAAGTAGATCAAGAATGTTTTATTGTATTTTAAATATCGGGTCTGTTAACTGGGAACAAAGAAGCATCTTAATTGTGAATGTTTTGTTACAGAAGAATTATTTACCTAGGGTTGTGGTAACAAAGGGATTAGAAGTAAAAATAAGGGCAGAAAGTCTGTAGCCTATGGACTGGATACATGCATAGGACCAGTGTATCTATAGCACAGAGGGTTCAATTCAAATCACTCTTTCACTTTCACAGGAAAGAGACCAAAAGCAACTGCCAGTATGGTGTACATGCCTCACGCAGTACAGAGCACATTCCGCTTTTCAATTATTAACTCCTATGTTTACCACAATTACTCAAGAAAAGAATTTCATTCTATTGAAAAAACATGTCTCCCATACTTTTGTTTTTATTTGGAAATGTTGGTGAAATGGAGATCAGTGTCTGATCTAATGAGTTTGTCCAGTGGGACTCCCATGTTTCTGCAGTGAGTGCACTCTCATGTTTGGGAATGAGCAACGTTAGATGCAGGTGCAGTGTACTGTAGGCATGTTCAGAGTATCGTTGTCATTTAGGTTAGTGAGGTACAGTACACGGGTTGAACCCAAAAAGGTGTCAAAATGTCAAAATCACCTGTTGAGGAATGCATGTTAACAATCAATTAGCACCTTCATGATGGAGCTAAATCATGACAAAAAAAATGAGTTCTGCATCACAGTTTCTGTATTTGTGGTTTATGACCAATGGTTTTTGCAGTGACTGGCCTTAAATCCTAATTACAATAGGTTTCTGCTTTCAGTCATTGGTGGGGGGATAAAATCACTTTGTCTCAAAGTGCTTTGGCATGTTATTAGCCTGCTGGCCAGAGGATGGGGTTGAAATCTTCAGGGAAGCTGTGTTTCTTGGTGGTCTTGTGCTTTCAGAATGGAATGTACTGTAGTGTGTCTGTTAACAAGCAGGAAACAGATGGAGCCCCCACCTGTCAGAGTTACCAGTCTGGACTGGCTAGTTCCTCGACGTTAAGTGGAAAAGCCATTACAGTTTTGTTGATGCCATTTCCTTTATGGAGTATTAAGTGTATTCCTGTCTCAGTGGTGCACAGGAAATCCATATTGTGACTGCTATGACCATTTTAGAGAGGCTTAAGCAGTTCTCCTCCCAGAAAGCATTATTTACATCTCTTTGCCTAGGTTTAGTAATCTTCTAGTTTTTAGAAAAATTGAATTAATTTTCGCCTCACCTGCATCACGTTTAAACACATATTTGCGTTCTAGGATTTACCACCATATAACAAGGCAGCTTAACATCTGTGTCTCTTTGTATGTGGTTAGCAAGTTAATGATTAAGAAGGGAGGAATGTTTGATCTTAATTTGTTCCTGATGACTAGCTGTTGAGCTCTCTGGGTTTGACAAAAAATAAAACGATGCATATGCCATTGAAGACTTGGACGAGTCGATGTTGTGTGCCTGCTTCAGAAATACTGAAAAAGTGCTATCCTCAGCAATTTCCAAATCATATGATATTTTTGTCTGCTATGGAAAACTATTCCTAAAGGCAGTTTAAAGCCTTAAGCGTCTGTGCCAGGTGAAAATATAGCATGTGTCGCATTGCTGTAACAAGTAGAGAACAGGAAACAAGCAATACTGCACTCGGTCTTCTGTGTTATGTAACAAGTTATTGTTTTCTAAATGCTCACAGCAAAACGTATGCTTAAGGGGATTTGTGCTCAATCCCTTTCATGAGAAAAAGCGGGTCATTCATTATTTTTATAACCCGTTCAAGCGCTCAGTTCACAGGGCTCCTGACAGGAACACAACACTTCCTGAAGTGAGATTTGCCAGAAACAGAAGGTGTCCCTTTGTAAACCTCGCTCTGTCAGTCTTCGCTCGAAATAAACGCATTCCTTCCGTTACATCAGAGTCATGGGAGAAAATGTGACCAGGATCAATGCCTATCTGATGTCTTGTGTCAAGACGGCACTCACTCTCGTTACAATGGAGATTCTGTTTGGGGTTCTAGACTTTGGCTTCTGGGATATGCTGGATATTATTTTTTAGCATAAATGTGTGCTTTTCCTCTACCATCACTGCATGAAAATCCATTAATTTGTGCTGTGTAGGATTTCCTGTTCTTGCTATATCTGCCTGTCTGTATCTTGAGGAAATAAGACTGCCTGTTCTTTAACCTTTCTTATGTGCTCAGTTACTGTAGAAATGAGAGGCTCATATAGCTTGTTTGGTAGTATTAAGATACCTGCCCAGGCGTTTCTTTAAAGAAGCAAGGGTATCGGCTTCACCAACTTGGCTGAGAGCTTGTTCCATACTCCCACAGCCCTTTGTGTAAAGAAGTACCTCCTTTTCTTGATCCTAAATGTGCTTCCACATAGTTTCCCTTTTGCACCCCGGTTCATGTTGAAGCTGCATCCTACAAAAACTGGTATTTTTCTATAACCTAATAGTGACAGCCAATCTTGTATAACCCTAGATCACTGTATTGGCCATATACAAGTTGTCTTTTTGCATACCCCAACTTGCTCTCCATGAGACACACAGACAGGGAGAGAAGCTGAGGGTCAGAGCGCAGGGTCAGACATTTTTACGGATCCCCTGGAGCAGTTGGAGTTAAGGGCCTTGCTCAGGGGCCCAACGGAGTAGGATTCCTCTGCTGGCTGCGGGATTTGAACCTGCAACCTTCCAGCCACAGGCGCAGCTTCGTTAGTTTCAAGTATATATGCTTTATCTTAACTCTATCATAACTTTTCTCAGAATGAGGAATGTTTGAAGCATTCTTTGAATTGTAACGGGAGCACTGTCAGTCGTTAGGAATTCCTTTCTTCTGTGGGAAGAAATTGATGAGGGTAAAATTGCAGACCTTGCCCAGAGCAGGTGAGAGGCAATTGTGTTTTTCTTCAGAGCAGGTGGCATGCAATTGTATTTTTTTAATGGGTGGTGCTGGCATTTTGAATAACAAATAGAAAGCAAACTCTGGATTGATTACACATAGGTGTGTGTGTGTGTGGCATTTGTGTAAGCAATACAAACTTTTTTACCTGAGCAACAAATTACAAATCTTGCATCGTTACCATTAACAGAATTGTAGTAAATATACTATTAAAATTAATATTGTACTGTAATTTAGAATGACAGTAGGATTCATACGATGTAATTAAGGACGTAGGGACTGTTTATAAATAGTATTATCTGCTTGACATGGAGTTCTGGAGGTTGTTGGCCGAGGCTCTGAGATGCATTTTACGTTTTCTTGAAGTGGTTTATTTGAGTTCTAAATTGCATCCCCTTTCCCGTTGTCCGAGTCCCACTGTTTCAAGGCGTCTGTAGTCAGGAGCCTCCGCTCTCTCTATAAGCCGTTTTTTCTTCTCTCAGAACTACGGGCTCGAAACCAGCAACCTGAAGGACCTGGTGGCGAAGATGAGGGCCTCGGCCAACAACCTCCAGAACTCCACCGCCAGTCGGAGGAGGAGCCCCGCGTACGACGGCACGGCCTCGCGCAAGCCCCCCAACGAGTTCCTCACCTCCGTCGTGGAGCTCATAGGGACCGCCAAGGCTCTGCTGGCATGGCTGGACAGGTAAACCCAAGCGTGCCCCTGTTAGAGCAGCGGTAAAGGGATCCGCCCTCGTTCTCCCAGAGCCTGCAGATAACTGTGGCCTGGGTTCAGGAGGTAACGTTAAAACGGAAAGCTGGACTCTGTCACCCTCGCATACAGTGATCCACACGATACTGTATGAGCAATGACCTTGAACTTGAACTTTATTGCCATATGTAGCCGGTACATGCACTGGTACAGTGGGATTCTTACTTCCAGAAAGTCTCTCGATGACCTCTTATTGGAAGGATTTATCTCAAAAATCGAATTCCTGGCTCCCAATTCGTTTTTCAGATAATGTCAAAGATGGCAAAAGCTCTTTGGTGCTATATTATGTCCTGACTATTGTGTAATGTGGAATCAGTTGTGACCGTCTGATCCAGTAGCCAAAACCGGGAAGTAAATTTGTCACCTCACCAGTACGAAAATGGGTAGCAGTTGTGGAAATGCTCCAGGATTTGTTGTCGGAATCTCAGTTCATCGACTATTTCACATCCGATGGCGGATGTGCGATATCGCCGCAGTCACAAGCTCCGTTTTGCTCTGTGACCATCTTTTGTTTCAGTCCCTTTTTTTTGGTTACAGGACACCCCTGACAGGGATCAGTGACTTCTCCTCCACAAAGAACAAAATCATTCAACTGTGCCTCGATCTAACAACCACAGTTCAAAAGGTCAGTATGCTCTCTTTATTACTAGCCCCTATTCTTATTTCTAAGCCTTTCTTGCCTGGCCTCTAGTTTCTGTGTTGCTCAATGGGTTTGTACAATGTGCCAAATACTTGAGCACATACTGTAATAGGAAAGTTTTTCAAGACAGCAGTGTGCCTTCTGCCTGCACCCGCATCCATGTTCAGTGTCAGACATTAATCTGAGAAAGAGAGTTCACTAATCCATAAAACCTCTGGTAGTCAGAACTTGGCCAGCATTCATTTCCATGATTGTGTCACCATATGTTCTCTGTTTCTTTCCTTGAATGTTTTCACACTGCTGGTTTAAGGTGAGTTTGCTGTCTGCTTAGCGATAATGCAGTGTAAAGAAGCTGTGTGTTTAACCTCTTGTAGCACTACTAGTAATATTCCTTTCTGTACATTTTTTAACCCATTTCTGTCCTGACAATAAAGCAGTATAATTTTCTGTCTTTTTTTAATTGTCCAAGGATTTCCTTATTATATTCGCTTTTGTGCAATCTATTACATCGTCACGATAAATGGATGAAAGTTCAGAGCAGGGTTCTCTTGTATACAGGGGTTTATCTTCTGTTACCCTGAAAAATGCGATCTGGTATTGTGAGTGCACCATGAAAACTGAACAACAGAGCTTGCCATTAATTTGCCAGAGTTTTTTTACATGCCTTTGACAGCTGGTGTATTAAATGTTTAGGAATATTTATTACATTTCAGGTGAACAGTGGTATTCCAGTTATTGATGTTGGTGATTTCCAGGGCTGAGATTTATTATAGAGGGTTTGGGTTGTTGAAAGCAGAGTTGAAATTTCCCAGGTAGCTGTTTGAAGTTTAAATTTTTCATCCAGTAGATTTATTTTCCATCAGCTGCTCACTGTTCCTCAGAGAATGCATCACAAGCAGCAGGGAAACCCCTGCAGTCTAGACGTGCTCAGTCTTAATGCAGCACTGGTTAACCTCTTTTTAAACGCATTAAAGGCAAAAGCATTGTAACTGATAAACAGTAACATCTAGGTGACTCGGTTAACTGCACAGAGGATAAAAGAGTCGAGTGAGTCCCTGTGTTCTGGAAGCCTGAGGCAGCACAAGAGCTCTTTTGTCGAATTCAATGGGTTTTACACGACTGTGGTAAGTAGGTCAGGGACCTTGTTTGGTGTGAGGACACACTTCATGTTAGACAGAGTTCCGACAAAACCTGCTGAAATTTATGTCCTTGGCCAACAATAGATACGTCGGCCTCCATTGGATTTTGCTTAAAATGCTTGCTGAGTGTAAGTGATGAGAATCGTGGAATTTATAACAGCACAGGGATATCCCCTGTATAATTGTATCCCGTTTCCAGTGTTGGAAAATACCACCATTATACTGTTGTTGAATTAAATACTTAAGGTTACTGAACATAATAATCAGCCCCCCAGAAAATCACAATCATGAGGAATATTCCGAGTTAACTAAAAAAAAAATCCTTTGCTAGTGTCTTGTTTCCATAAGCAAAGCATCATAAAACATCTGAACACTTTTTCTGGCCCCACAAAATACGTTTACTAATATGCTACAGTACGAATTAAAAATCTGGAAAATACAGCAAGGTAATGACCCACAACAAGTTTATCAATTGTGCAGTTGCTATGTAGAGAGTAAGCAGAACTAGGCTGTTTTCCAAAATGTAATCTGACTACCCCAGTTCCTACCTCTCTCAATGTATTAATCTCTTGCGGTTTGAACTTGATAGAAAAGTTCGTCGAGATGACACCCGAGAAAGGAGAACAGCTTTTCCAATAGCTCACAGTTCTGTAGTTTCAAGAAACCTTGACAAGTTTTCTATTGCCAAGAATATGCAAAGAAGGTATTAAAGCAAATGTTTGATTAAACAAATGTTGAGGCTGACTGATTTGGAAATGTAATTCTGATTTTATGTTTTGTAAGTCATTAAGAAGACTTGTGAATGAATATGTTCTTTGTACTAGTCGTGAAAATAGACTTTTTGACCTGATATTATTCTGCTTTGGAGCTTTTGGCCCCACGTTGGTCGATAAGTGGAAGCCCTCTTGATCAGTACTACTCAGTGGGTCTTTGTTTGTCGTCTTATACCGCTGGTTCTTCATTTTTTTTTTTAACTCGGCTGTGACCAGTGCTGCGCTGCTCTGCTCTGGTCTGCTTCTGCCAGGGGACGGTCATGTAGGCTGAATGGCTCAGAGCCACACAGAGACACACACGGACAGTGGTGACACCCAAGAGAGTGGTCTTCCACCACATCTAGGTGTCGAGAGCCCACATCACTTCTGTAACAGGTTTGGTGCCACAGAGTCCTGTTGCACTGGGGAGATGATCGTTATTATAATAATAAGCTTATTGGTCTATAAAAAAAACTAAATGCAAAAAGTTGTCATCGCAAATCTGTCCAGTCCTCAATATTTCTGACGTTTGTTTGGACCACAGTGTGCCAATCTAATGTCCCAAGTGTTGGGAGGAGAATAGATCAGGTTGCATCTATGTATTTTGGAGAATTGGGGGAGTTTTGTTTTGTGTTTGACCTGAATGAGTGAATGGAGCATGATTTGACAATAGAGACTTGCTGCTGTAGTCTTTCGTAAATGAGGGTAGTGAAACACTTTTTTTTCCCTTGGAGATTAGGAGAGATGGAATGAAATGCTTTTTTTAGAAGAGCAGTTAAAATTTATTTTTTTGCCAGGTCATCTGCTTCTGTTGACTGTTGAGCTTATGCTGTCTGTGCAAAGACAGCATTAAGCTGGCATTTAATGTTTATATGTTTTGGATAGTCCCGCCTCTTGGACAGTGGAATGTGCAAGGTTAGGAAATATGAAAACAATCAGTCCTCCCTCTTAAACTGTCAGCGCAAAAGTTCTAAGAGCCTGACATCTCCTCTTAGATAAAAGCACATTGTTGATAATCGCATCAATTGGACTATTAAAAGTTCTTTCTTTCAGTTGTACCGAGTTTATATTGTGCAGTAAAAATGCCTACTTTTAATTTCTGTGCTGTTTTGCTGTACACAGTGTGGGAATTTCTATTCTGAACTGCTGATATTCTGTCTTTGTCTTCTTCCGCTAATATTCTGGATGCCTGTACTGACCTCTTAGGCCTTATTATGTATCCCTATAAGTTAGAGTTCTAGCAGGAAGGCTATGATTTAGTGCCTGTAATGGAAGTTTTCTCACAACTGTATTGCCAATCTATGAAAAAAATGCGGTTATTCCAGTTGCTATGCGCTTGTAAAAAAATGTCTTCAGCAACTCAAATAACCTATTATTTGATGACTTTTCTGTGTAAGTCTGCTGTCCACCATTTCCTGTGTGAAGAAGACTGGGCCACAGCATAGCAGCACTGTTCCAAACTGAGCTCTTTGGCAAAGCAGGTGCACGTAGTGCAGATCCAATGTTACTGCTTCACCTGAGGCCTAGAAGGAAACTTCTGTATCCTTCATTTGCCAAAGTAGCAAATATCACTTGTCGCTGCCTCATCCATATTGTACATTATTTTCAGGAGTAAAATAACATATTTGTATTAATTCTAGCTCCTATTGTTTAATTATACAGTGTCCGGTGGCTCTGATAATTGTCCATGTCATAAAAGGTATTTTTCAATACAATAGTGAGTCCAGCACTGTATCTGATCTTATCCTAAACCTTCTTCTTTTCAGGATTGCACGGTTTATGAAATGGAAGAAACAATCCTTGAAGTTGTAAGTATTGCATGTTTTTTTACTGTGTCCCTGACAATCACGATAGTTGTACCCCTTAAAAGGGGTTAGGTGCTTCTCTTTGAATGAGAGGAAAGGAGTAATGCTCGATAGTGTGAAAAGGCTGTACTTGTATCGCTTTTCTGTAATGTATACCAGATTTGGCTGTTCCATGCACAGACTGCCGAATTTGCAGCCCCATTAATCAGAACTTCCTGTCTGCGACATTAACCAGACATAATTCTGTGACAGTAGACTTCCTCCTTTCTCAGACATAAAAGACTAAATACTAATGAGTTTTATTGTCCCACAAAATGGAAGTTTTTAAAATCCAAACTCTCGTAAAGCTCACCCAGCCTTACTGAAGCCGATACCCTGGCTTCTTTCAAGAAGCAGCTAAATGAGATCACCAAATCACTTAGTTGCTGGATGGGCTGGCAGAGAGGAGACAAAGATCATTATCTAGAATAGGGGAGTGCCTTTCCCACTAGACCTTGTTTTAACTCCACTGGGGCTGTAGGGCAGACTGATAAAACATTAAAAATTCTTCTTCCATGGGGACCATCATATAATTCAATAGAAAGGTTAGGTAGAAATAGATAGCAAAGATTTTCCCCAGTGAGAGACTGCTAGGAACATATAAAAATGTTGAAAATTACATTTTAAGGAATGAGTGTAAAAAACAGTTAAGAAATATAAAGGATATTCTTTGCCATCTGCCTTTTAATTTCTAAATACTGTGAAGTGGTGTTTGGTCTTTACGGTTCCTGGTTTGTGTGGATTTCAGTCCAAGGTCCTGAATGGAATTTGTGACCAGACCATGAGGACTACCTCTGATCCTTTCATGAGCCAATGTGCCTGTCTGGAGGAGGTACAGCTGACCAACATCAGGCCTGGGGAAGGACTGGTAAGATCTGCCTGCTGTTCTCTAAATTCTCAAGCAATGGCACAGAATTTTTTTAAACACAGGCCATGCGCTTGTACAGATACAAAAGCAAAGCTTTTGGTAATGATCTCAAGGTGCTGCTTGGACAGACTACCACTGTATCTTTTCTGAAGCTAGTACAGGTCTTCTTGCCCAAGACTTTTGTAGTGGCTATAAATCTTTAGTTTTAAAATCTGATTTAAAAATAAATGTACTGAGGTGAATTATTATGAATGCTTAAGAGTTCTTCAAAGTATAATGTATTATATACACTGCATTCTAGTTTTTGATAGAGAGAAAATGAAAAATCCAAAAATGGTACAGCAATTTATTTTGTTACTCTTATTCCATTGAGCCCTTCTTTGCTCAGGGGATTTGAATGTCACATCGATAGTCGTTGATTTGTGTCCCTGGAGAATTTTGTGAGAAAATGTAGTCACGGTTCTTTTCTTTTCAGGGCATGTACATTAAATCAACCTACGATGGGCTCCATGTGATTACGGGGACCACAGAAAACGTGAGTATGGCTTTGCAATCTTCGAGTTACGGCAGAAGGGAGAGGTTCCATGTGCAGAGTCTCCGCAAAGACCTCGTCAGACGTTTATTTCACATCTCGCAGTGTCACGATCGCCGCTTGCAGAGTCGCCCACGTGTAAGCTTTACAGGAAGTGCCATCAAACTAGAATGCATCATGTGTGGTAAATGCTGCCGGTCTCTAATTAAAAAAAACATCAGATGAGGCACACCTCAAAATGCCTGATCCATACAGCCAGGATATTTGGCCTACCCACTGCTATAATGGAGCATGTATTGTTCTTCGACATTTATAGATGGCTCTTAAAAAATAATAGCTGTCTCTCTCCTGGGAGCTGAAATTGTTGGTTGATTAATAGGGAAGTGGCATCACCATTGATCTTTAGACACACTGTAAGCCTCATCAAAGTCTTCCTCTGTTTGGAAAAGCATGTCAGGTGTGTCAGGGGAGAGATGTGCTGAGAGTGGGAAAGAGAGGGATCAGGGGCAACCTTTTGCAGTGCAAGGATGGAGAGTGTGTGATGGAGAATTCGGACTTGGCAGAGGAAGAAGGTAAAGGGTCTGTCAAGAGTTTGGAGGTGTGAGAGCTTGAGTTTGAGGTGATGTGGGTGTATCCTACAAGAAGAGGCAATCAGTTTGTTGGATAGCCATGAAAAATGTCAGAGCAAGAAGTATGCGTCATGAACGTAGAAGTGATGGGAGAAACTACAAGCAAGTAAGAGACCCCAAAGTGCAGGATAACAAGGCAAACAAGGTCCTAGCTCTTATTCTTGAGGAACGCCTGTGGAGATGTGGTGTTCCTCAAGTAGAGTGAAGAGTGAAGGGGAAAGATCTGTTCCATAAAATCTGGAAGGAGTGGGCAAAACTTCTCAAGTAGGGCCTAAAATTCTCAGAAGCCTGTATTGCAGTGGAAAAGAGAATCTGCTCAAGTGCCAATTGAGAATGTCCTATATACAAGGAGTAAGCGGCAGAGATCTTACTGTGAGATGGAATAGTATGCAGAAATCAAGATGCAGAAAATAGTTTTAGGGAGGAATGCCAGGAGGTATGAGAAGGGGCGTTGAGTAGTTTTATAGTAAGGCAGGTATCGAATTTGTTGAGCAGCAGAAGGATGTGAGATCATCTTAAAAGAAAAGTATGAGAGAGGCTTTGGGGGACCGGGGAGGATGAGAAAGATAAGGGTTGATGGGAGATGAACGGGAGGCACTGAATGAATGGTTATAAGTAGGATTGTTTTGAAGCGTCTATGAACTTAGAAGTGTAGTGAGTTTGGTGTGGACAAGAGTCAGGGCTGAGGAGAACAGAAGGAATCGAGAGTGGAAATAAAGGAAAAAAATAGAGCTTGAAGTAGGGGGGTCCATTGAAAGCACAAAACATCATCTTTTAAATGGAGCTGTTGTTTCCATCACTGGTCCATCTTCTGCTCTCTTGTCAGTCTTATCATTTTGTGTATTTGCCCTGTAAAACCAGAATTCCTGGTAGGATGCTGAAAGGAAGGCCGGAATGTGGTAGCTCCTCTGGACAGTGCCGCTCATTTCTTCTCTTTGTCTGGTTTCAGTCTCCAGCTGACAGGACACGCAAGATACATGCTGGGGATGAAGTCATTCAAGTCAATCAGCAGACTGTGGTAAGAGCCTGCACGCCTGTCCTTCCCTGCCTGTCCTTGCTGTCATTCACTAGCTCCAGAGGGGTAGACACTAACAAGACACAGCTGGTAAAACAGAGTTAAAGCCAAACAGAGTTATTTCATCAACGTTTAGGAGAATGTTTTTTTTTTACCAGCTTATACTGCTTATTTCTGTTAAGAGTGAAAGGTAAAGGCTGTACCAAAGCCACAGTGGCTCACTCCTGGTTTCCACGGAGTTCAACAGACACTGGTTTACCACAGGGATGCTGGTTTATCAAGGGGATGACCCCCAGCAATGCTGGTCCCTGTTTATAAAGCTGGCTGGACAGGAGCAACTGCAGTAAAGCTTCTCACTCAAGGTGCAACAGCAGGGACTTGAACCCTCAACCCAACGGACTTAACCACTACGCTTGGTGCCTCCCCACCAAAGAGCACCATAATCTGCGTTATTGCAGGTGCCGGGGGGGTCCTCATTCTACACTGAGGTTAGGGATCCCAAAAGCGCAATGTATAGCAAAACTACTGCAACAGGGAATTTCCCCTCAGAAGGACAATGTTAAATAGGGTGGTAGGAACCGTAAGGATGTAGACTTCCCTACACAACGTAAAGTGGAGAAATTTCTCCCGTTAAAAACAGTGGATTATTGTAAGGCTAGGGAATGGAAGATAGGCTTTTAACTCCCAGAACCCCAATATATTAAATTGTACTGTTTTGATTAATAAATAATATTGTACATAAGATTATATATATTTAGTATGACTTTTTCTTTCAAGGATATTTATACAGCAGTTTGACTTAAACACAAATATTTATTATGTAATGTTTCCAAAAAGAACGCAGTTCCAGCACCTCTTCCTTCTCCTCCTCCTCATCTACGTTTTTAAAACCAGCCTCCGTTGCTAATTTCCCTATTTTGCTTCATGAGTGTGGGGGAATTTTTACAGATTTTTTGACACCCCTATATTGGTAAGGCTGAACAGTTCACTGGGAGGCCTGGCCTGCTGAGACACTCCCGTGGCATAGCCAGAGGTGGGCGGGGGGGGCTGGGGTGGTGCCGGGGATGATGTACCACAGTGTGCTGGCTTAACGCGGCCCTCCGCCCTCGAATCAGGTTGGCTGGCAGCTGAAGAACCTGGTGGGCAAGCTCCGCGAGGATCCCGCGGGCGTCGTGCTCCTGCTGAAGAAGAGGCCCGCGAGCACCACGGGCTTCATGCCCGCGCCTCTGAAGAACATGCGGTGGAAGCCCCCTCTGGTACAGGTAATACCGCGCTCGGCCCGCGCGGGGGGGGGATAAATCTGTGAAGGAGAAGGAAAAAAGGTCCGACTGCCCTGCAAGAACAGGAAGTGCTCTCGGTTTATTTTTAAGACCGGTGACGCGAATGTGATGGCAGGCAGGTCGGGGCAGGTTGGAAGACCACCCACTTACCGCCAGCAGGGATGGAACGGGAGGATCCGAGCACGTTTTGTACAGTATGTTGTTTTTGTAAAATACTGTAATGGGGCTCACAGGCTGGTAAGGGCTTTTCCAGATTGCCAAACGCCAACTGAGCCGCGTGTACTCGGATTACCACCGACAGCAAGCCGATTCCTGAAGTTGCCATCGGTGGCCCACCTATGCAGGCGGGTTTTCTGGCAGTGTCTGAAAGCAGGACACCTGTCGCGGCTCAGTGCGTGTTTAAAATGACTGAGGCGTCGAGAGAGAAGCGACAACTGGACCGTGCAAGCCTGGCATTTCTGGCGGTCAGGAACATTCTTTCCGCGCCGGTGTGTAAATACATGCTCTTTCCAGATCTGTCCCTTTTCATAACAAAGGGGTCAGTTCACGCTGTCTGAGGATATGAAAGCACGCAGAGGTGCCCTCAGCTTTTAGAGCCGTGGAATGAGAGAACACGGCGTCTCTCTGCTCGTTTTGCCGATGACCTTCTGAACTTACTTCAGCACTGCATTGACCTGCACCGCGACTACTTGCATGCCTACACGCCTGTAATATAGTCAAGACCACCAGGACGCTGTCAGCCATGAGGTCTCACCCACATGCACGCTCTACCGTGGCCAGGTGAAATTCTCGATGGGACTTGATCAGGAAAAGCCATCCTTGGCTTATTGGCTTCTTTTGCTGAGGGCGATTTCACCAGTGCTGTCGCAGTCCTTGTCCTGACAATCCGCAATGCAGCTATCCTTCTTACTCACTGCATCAGCTGTTACATTCTCTGAAATGCAAAAAGGAAAAAAACTGTTTCGGCGATCAAAGTTAAATTTCGAAATTGATTAGTTACCTATAAGGCTACCTATAAAACCTACTGGACTGTAGCTCTGAGACCCCCGTCTTAATGACTTCACATTGAAATATTCCTGCCATCAAGATTCCCGGAGTTTCTACCCCATTCTCCTCGTCGGTGTGCATCATCTTTGTGAAACAGTGTCCTTTTGATTGTGCCGCAAATTTAGTATTTAGAATCTAATCTAGATTGTTAATCAATCAGCATTTCGTACTTGGGAGGTACCAAAGGGTGCAAAAAAAAACATTTGTCTGACAATTTCACATGGACAGAAATTAATTTGTACCCATTTGTACAGCTCAATACTTAATTGAAGTATCCTACCCAGGATTTGAACCCACAACCTTCCTGTTCTGAGACTAAATAACCCTTAATAAAAACTATGGCTCTCTTAATATTACTCTTAAACAGGCTGTCTAGTCTTGGCATTGCATTGTTAATAAAGTGTTTGTATTTCTGTATACACCTGAAGATACAGTATTGTAGTACAATATGAATGTGGAAGAAGTGTGCAGCTCTTTAAAAAGGCTAACATGCTCGTTCGCTTTTGATGAACAAAACAAACATCATGGACCTCATTAATCCACTTATGTTACAGTCATCCAAATCTAAAACGCTCCCATATACAGGAAATATGAGTGAATGAGAAATGTTAATGCTCGAACTCCTGAAAACATTGGTGACCTATTAAAGAACAAAAGGACCCTGCATCATCCGATGAGAGCTGGCATCTTCTATTTAAAATCTCGGGTCTTTGTTTCTGTGCTGGGAAAAGAAATTGGCTTCAAGCCGTCACAACTGTGCAGATTGTACTGACAAGGGCCTTTTCATCACTAGATGACTGGTTTCTTTTGTTGTTCTTTTAGCTCCGTACCACATAAGTGCTCCTAAATAATCATTCTTATTTTGCAATATTATGGACTTGTATAGAAAAATAAACTTTTTAGTCAGTGGGCTGACTCAGTTTACAGTTCTTTTAGCAAGTTGTAAGGAATACACGATGTGGACCGGCTTGCCCTCCAACGAAACAAGCGCTGATACGAGGTGGGGCGTGAGTGTTTGAGTTGGGGGATTGGGTGTGGAGCGGTGCCGTGTTCCTCCTGGAATCCAGTGGGGTTTGGGGGATTTCTCAACCGCGTGTTCTCTGTTGCAGACGGGCTCTCCCCTGACCAAGGCCCTGTCTCCTGAAAGCGCTATGGATTCGCCTATCAAGAAGGAGAAGCCCGCCATTCTGGACCTGTACATCCCACCCCCACCTGCCGTTCCTTACACTCCCCGGTGAGCAGCCCGCCTGTGGATGGTACTGTGTCTGCAGTCAACACTCGTGTTAAGCCATAGGGGTCATGGGCTGACGCAGTGCTGCCTCACAGCCTGAGGCCCTGGGTTCCATTCCAGACCTGGGGTGCTGTCTGTATGGGGTTTGCATGGTCTCCCTGTGTTCCGGGTGCTGCAGTTTCCTCTTGCAGTCCGAAGACATCCTGGTAGGCGAATTGGCTTCTAGGAGAATTGACCCAAGAGTGAGTGTGTTCATATGCACGTGCGCCTTGCGATGGACCAGTGTCCTGTCCAGGGTGTATCCTGTCTCATGCCTGACGCGGTAAAAATGTTTACATCTAGTGTTCTGTCTGGCCACAGGCCACTCTTAAAGCAGCTGCTTGTGAGATGCTGCCTCTGTGGACGTTGTCGTCTCTTAGTCAGAAGAATATCAGTCAATAAAATATTAACACCCGAAGAGGCTCCATAGCTGAAACGTTGTGTTTCTTGTCTTCTCTTTTCCGCAGGGAATAAGCCTTTACTTGTTCCTTTGCAGCCTCCGCATGCTGACACAGCTCCCTACTTGAACTACTTCAGTATATTTAGGAACAAGTTAAATGTGTACTCCATGCTGAAAAGAGAAGAAAGAAAACACGTTTCAGCCAAGGAGCCTTCTTCAGGTGTGAGCCTCACACCTCACACCTGAAGAAGGCTCCTCGGCCGAAACGTTGTGTTTTCTTTCTTCTCTTTTCAGCATGGAGTAAACCTATTACTTGTTCCTTTGCAGCCTACGCATGCTAAAGCAGCTACCCACCTGAACTTCAATTTATTTATACATTTCTCTTACTTTTCAAAAGCAAACATAAATATCCGAGTGTTTTTTTTTTTTTTACTTTGTGTTCTACAGTGATGTGAAAGGCCACAAGTACGCAGGCGTCACGGCACGACCGAAGGGCTCGGAGTCGCCCAACTCCTTCCTGGACCTGGAAAGCCGGCGTCGCTTCACCATCGCCGATTACGAGCAGCTGGGCGTCTGTCCGGCCGGGGCGCCCGCGCTCCCCGCGAGGATGCGCGAGAGGACCTCCTCGCACGGTAGGCGCGCTCCGCCGTCTGGGCGCCCCCGCTTCGCGAGGCGTCTCGGAGCCGCACGCAGGAGCCCGGCCGTTCCCTCGCTCCTCGCGCTCCCGCCTGCTTCAGGCCTGGGGGCTTGGGAAAACGGGAAGTCAGACGTGCAGCTCCAGGAAAGAAACGTTACCGGTGCATTTCCTTCTTCCTTTTCCAAACTTATAGAAAGGAATGAATAAGGAATAATATCTGTAGCAGTCCCCCATAAACACACCTGCCCTAATTTCTTGTGTTTTGAAGATATTTTTTTAAATGAACTAATAGTCCTGTTACTAGTGCAATAGTGCTAAATTAGCAGAACTCACCAGCTTCTGTCCAGGCCTCTCGATTAAGAGCTTCCCTCGTTTTCTGCAACGGTAAAGAAAATGGGTTTTATGGCTCATTCGGGTGATACTCTTAAGTTCATTCCGTGCCGTTCACCATAATTTCTATTCCTTTGCCCACAATGATCTGCATTGCTTAATTATTAAATTAAAGGCTCGTTTGGAAGTCCACCGAGAGTCTTTTCCTCGGCGCGTTATGTCAAAAAGCTTATGGAGAATTGGAAAACCTGTAACCTGTGCCTCCTGCTGAAATGTCAGCAAAGTTCATTTCCTGACGTCAAGCTGTAACCCTTTGTAGGGAAACCTCGACCGCTGTCCATGCCGGTGGATGGGAGCTGCCTGGGGCCGATGGATAATTGCTCGAAGCCTTGGACAGCAGGGAGAAAAGGTACACTTCTGCACAGTGCAACTCTGCAGGCAGCAGGAATCAGCTCTTTAAAAATCTCTTTAAAGCCAGTGGCAGTGAATTTGCTTAACAGCTACACAAGCCTAGCCTTGGGAAGAGAAGAATGAACAGAGGCTGGCACCGGGCCTCCAGACTGCAGCTCGCAGAAAGTGTTGTGCATGAGCTTGTAAAACGAAGGCATTAATACGAGCACGAGAGAAACCTAAAGTCAGTGGAAAATTCAGCCTCAGTTAGTTTAGGCTGTTATTTTGGAGGATGTGAGAAATTGGAATTCGAAGTTGGAAAGTCAAATTAAAATGGGATTGCCTTACTTTTTGATACAAAGAGACTCCCAACCAATCCTCATATCCGTTCGTTTTCTCCCTACATTTCAGCTGGGTTGGTATTGAGTGCTGGCTGAGAAAAGGTAGCTACTGTATAAGGGCCAGCAGTGTGTTGCAGTGGTTAGTAGCTTAGTAGTCTGGACTCTAAACTGAAAGGTTGTGGGTTCAAATCAGAGGTGGGACAGTGCTGTTGTCCCCTTGAGCAAGGTGCTTCACCTGAAATGTCGCAGTTATATGAAATACCCAACTGTATAAATTAGTGCAAGTTTCTGTTGATGAACTATGCACCAAGTAGATGTAAAAGCTGTTTTTTGAGGCTACTAACTAAACTGTGCACAGATTGACACCCATGAGAAGCTCCTCCCAGTAGGGAAATGTTGAGCCCAGACAGGCTAAAGCCTAACAGCTGTCAGCTCAATTAAACTGCAGTAGTAAATGGATGGGAAAATTGATGTCTTGCATGAGATTCTTGTGAAACAGCTGCTTGCAGTTGATTTCCTCACAGTAGCTCCAAACAAGACGTATTCACCCTCGTCTATCCTGCTTTATCAGAGTGCATTTGTAATTCAGTTCCACTGTCTTTCAGTAGTGCTTATGGTGTAGAAAGCAGTCTTGCACGTAGAAATGGAGGTACTGAAATTTTTAAAAAGGAATAAGGGAACTGAAGAGTTTTAAAAAGTTACTGCAGTGTTGTCATAAAAACGTAGAGCTCTGTGCAACGTGATCTTGCTTGCTTTCCTGTGTCTTTCATTTAGAACACTGTTGTTTTCAGTAGGGCTGTGTTGGATGGTTGAATTGATAAACCAAAGTATTAATTTGAAATTGTTATTGTGAATTGCTTTTTTTGCAAAGGCATCCAAACGGTGTGCAGTGTGAAAGAGTTCCCACTGTTACTATAATAACACAGCGAATCTGCTTTTCTAAGATATAAATATTGTTTTTGCTACCTTTACATGCTGCATTTAAGACAGAAAAACACAAGTATGTGCTGAACAGCACGGTGACATAAAATGGAAAAGCAGAAACCAGGATTTGCTTTTAAAGAGTGTTACATTTCATTTGCCTTGAGTCCAACTAAAACATTTGGATTTGCATTCATGCAGGAGAAGATGCCTTGTACAGATATATGAGCAACGAGCGGATCCCACCCATCATAGAAGAAAGCCCCTCTGTTCACCAGCTCTACAGACCGGCCACTGACAGGCATTTAATTCGGGCAGCAGATCACTTCAGGGGCAGCAGATACTTTACGAACGCAGACCTTCACAATAGCGCCACCATTCCTTACCAGGAAGACTCGCCTAAAAAGAGCCCAGGCTCTTCCTCCTCCTCCTCCTCCAGGACAGCCTCAGCGGAACCCTCTCTACTGGTCAGTTGGATCACAAGACTTAAGCTATTGACTCACTGAGTGTTTTGCCTGTCGGAGTCCCCTGTCAGTCTGGGTGCCTTTGTTGTGCTGTCCATACGTCCGTTCCTCACGTTCAGTATTATGACCCAGTGCTGGACTGGTCTTGTAGAACTCCTGCGCATTTCTGTTTCCCCCCCCCCAACAAGCATTTCAGTGTTCCTCACCCTCTTTCAGAAGAGCTGATGCAATAGGAAGCGTATTGTGAATTCTCGGGGTTTTGCCAGTATGGCTTCAAAAAGTGTTAGGAGGCAGCTGAGAGGGTCTGCCTGTGCGTTTTTGTTATTTGTGCTCACTGAAAAGAAAATAATTCAGGTCTAGGAAAGAACAGCTTTGCTTTTGTAAACTTATCTCCCATCTGTATAATTAAGTTATTTATAATGATGATTTTGTTAATCTTTCCTGTACAGCTATTTTGATTTTCACTTGCCAAAGCGTTTTGATCTTTTTTTGGATTTCTGTACATCACTCGGTAGTTGTACCATATTAAGCTAACTCTCAGAAAGGTTACTGTACAAAAAAAAAAACTGTGCTTTCATATTCTTCCCTTTTTATATTTAAGTATAGTTGTGTGTTTCTTTTCAAGGTGTTTTCTGTTCCATTTGTTGAAAGTTACAAACTGCCAATGGTTGCCTCTCATAAAGGAAACGCGTTAAGGAAAAGGGTGTGCAGTTACTGTCAGTCCTTCCTCAACACACCATCCAGCCCTGTAGTTGTGTTTAAGTCTTTAGGGGACTAGTTCTTTTTCTTTCTACTTTGATGTGCTGAGGTCAGACGAAGACTGAAAAGAGTTCGCCTCTGTCTTTAGTTTCCTCTGCGTTTCAGATATTATGTCTCTTGTGCGTTTCCTGTCACAGTGCGAGAAATGCTCTCTACTCTCAGTGGCCTTGGTCCCATGGCTGAAAGTGCAGGCAGGCAGAGATATTTGGGTTATTTCTGATAGGACACCTGTATATCACTGACATGCCTGGTAAACCTCAGGAGATTAACCTCCCTAGCAATATGCCTTGCCTTCTAATACTTCCAGAGATCTTGCGTACAGAGTACAGGTAGTTGATGTAAAGTATTACAAGAATTCATCAACAGTGTTAAAAGTTCCACATTAAGGACCTGTAAAATGATCCATTGTATCTAAACTGTCTTTGTAACATCATTGAAAATAGTTTATTAAAGGTGCAGCTGATCACAGTGTTTCCTTGTTTTTCTTTCATGGTTATTTTCATTCTCAGTCTTACGGTGTCAATTCCTCGCACATCATGAAGGGTCCAATAGCAGCAGCTGTGGAAAGTTTAATTTCGACAGTCGGACAATTGATTGCGACTGTGTTAATTCAGCTTTGAGTCGTTCACATAATAGTGAAATGGGATGCCCTCTAAATGGCATTAAAATCTAAAAGTTTAAGAAAATGAAGTGAGACACTACCAAAATGTCATGAAACCTTCAACCTCTCATGCAATTTTCAGTAAGGCAGTGCATAATTAACCACTTGGTATCATTGCTTTAATTAGGATGAAGTTGGAATTTCCCATCTGGAAAATGCATCAAAGACCCACTAAAACTGTGAGGAGCGATTAGGCTTTCTCTCATCTGTACAGAAATTACAATACTAGCAAAACGTTGTCAAAAAAGTAAATACTGTTAGCAGCAGATGTCCTCGGTACATTCATCAGACTCAAAACTTTCCTGTTCGAATGTAACAAGACTTTGGCAAGTTGATGATCATTTTCCAATTTTTGTGAAAATGCACGTTTGCATTTTAACTGTTGAACCTTTGGATCTGTCACTTCCCATGGTGTGTGGCCAGAGCATTTCTGTCTCTCCTGAGAGAATAGGGTGGTCAGTGGTCACATTACTAACCTGGGGGTGAAAAGATGCCATCAAGAATTGGGACAGTACCAAAGAGCTTCAGCACATCCCAAGAACTAATTGATTCTTCTCGACACTCCAGTAAATCCTCCTCTGAGACGGTTTCTGGGAGTTGTTTTTATCTTGAATAAGCTGGTAAGCATTATAAATATCTCGCAAGAAACTACACCCTCTCGTTCAAGAACACACATGCTATACCAGTTAAGACATTTTATAGCAGATACAAATGCAGTAGATGAGACCCTAGTTCAGCCCTATAATAACTCTCAATGTCAAGGGAAAGTCTTAGTTGTAAGTCAGCCACTGACATTTTCTCTTAACTTTGCTTCTGCTACTTGTAAACAATCTTGCCACTTTGGTCTCTTTTTTTTTGCTCTGAGCTACCTTGTCTCTTAAGTGCTTTCTTTGTTTCAGCTTCAGCTGCATGCCTTGCATCTCTGTGGTAGAAGGGTGCATGTTGTGTGTTGCCATTTTTTTTGGTCAAGGTTGTAAAGGGGGGGAAATGGCCTTTTTATATGAACCCTGAAGGAGTGATGCATTTGGTTTGACCTCTTTGTGTTGGTGGATGTTTTGAAGAGAGACTTGGAGTACAGCAATGAAAATACTTTAAACAAAGATTCATTTTGTTTAGTGGTTTTAACAATACTCTTCCCTATATCTTAAAAAAAATGGCAAACTTAAAGCACAATTAGATAAGGTCTTTATAAAAGTGGACTTGCTGTTCTTCTGAGCTTTCTGCTGTTGATATTGTCAACGTCATTCAACAGTAATTCTCTTGCATGGAGAGACCTAATTTCTTACCATCTCATTTATTACCAATACATCCCTATTTCTGTAAGTTTTATATTGTATGTGGAACACTACAGGCACAGGCTACAAGTGTGGCTATTGCTTTGTATAGAATAATGCCAATTTCCTCTTTCTAAACTTCCTCTGCCCTGGTTACACTCCAGCTGCTCCAGATATCCTCTTCTTGACCTCCACGATGATTGCCTGCCTGTTTCTTTAATTCTTATACATTTGTTATTTGTACTTAGCTACAGTAGATTTCTCTTAAAAGCCTATTCATTTTAATAATACTAATGAAACTTTTCTTAGTGAATTTAGAAGTAACTTCTGAAAGCGCTTTACAGTAAGAAAAAAAAAGTTAACTAGGAGAAGAGGTAACATTTGCACAATTAAAAACAAGAGTTTAGCATGCAGGTACAAGGGGCAGACGGAACCGATTAAGTAAAAGCCCTTCTGAAGAAGATGGTTTTGAGTCTTGATTTGAAAGAGCTCAGGAAAGGGATAGAATTCCAGAGCTTTGGAGCACAGCAGGAGGAGCTCCTGTCACCCATAGAGTGAAGACGGGTTTGGAGGATGAACAGGAGCCCATCTCCTGTGTGGCTCCAGGATGGGTGTTAACACTTTACTTTGTGTCCACTGCAGGTTTCAAGATGGTCCCCCAATCCCAGGCTCATTAGCAGGTGGGTGAAAGCAAAACTGCAATAATACAAGTTTGCTGATATCTTCGGAAACATAATAAAAATAGCAAAGAAAGCCTGTATATGTTCAGTCAGTTGGGGATGACAGCAGTTTGGTTGTGCTCTCCTCCTGCTGGTGAGCCCTGTTACAAACTTATAGCCTGAGAAACATTAAAAATGCAACAAATGAATATTGGAACCAAAAGGATTA